CCCGGCCGCCAACTTGGCCCGAGCAGCGGGGGCCGCCACCCAGCGCCCCCAGCCCCGCGCGGGCAGGCGGGCGAGGGGCCGGAACCTGGAACCCGGAACCCGGACAGGTATGGGACGAGGTGGGGGACAGAGGCAGGGGGTGCGGGTGCGGCGGGCGAGAGTGCGTTTGCTTCGTGGGTGGCCGCTTTGGGTGTGGCTTGCAGGCGCGGTGGTGTGGAAGGGTGTGTCACCCAGCCCTTCTCCGACTAGTTTACTCTTCACCCCTTGGCGCTTTTGGTTTAGGACCTGGTGTCATCCCGCGTCTAAACCTGGAGCAGCTGTTCGGGTTTCCCCTTCCCCGCCTCCCCTGGCATTCCCGGGACTACGCTTTCCGCCCTCGGAGCGGTGCACCTAGGGCTCTGCAGGTACCGCACGGTGCTGCGTTCAGTTTCCTGTACCCCTTCCAATGTGTGGCCGCCGGGGGAGGGAAGAGTTGTAGTGTCAGGTTGACTTGGACAGAAGGTGCGTTTCTGCCTTGTAGGGAAGCTGAACAGATTTTCCCCGTGACCAGCTAACGAAGGATCTACCCTGTGGCGCGCCCCTGGGGCATCTCTTTGGGAGGGTGGCCCACGCGCCCGCCCGCGCTGCGCCCCTTACAGTGAGACTCTTGGCTCGAGGGTGCAAAGGCTTCCCAGGGACCCGGTCAGATCTCAGAGGTTTGGACCAGCTCTTACCTTGAAGCAATTAAGCTTCTGTTCCATCAGATAAGTGCTGCGTCGTCTCTTGCGAGTGAAATCTGGGCTCACAATGTTAATGGGCTCACGTCTTTCCCTTGGTAATATGGTTTTGTTTATTGAGTGTAGAGAGACGGGAAATAAAAGTGCAATTGGCACAGGGAGCTGAAGAGTAGAAAGATTACAAAGACAAGCTTTACACTGAGAAACTTTCCAACTTCCTTGAGCATTTCTTGTAATGCTTTCCTCCGCGGAGCCGTGGGAAGTTAAGTTAAATACATAGGGGTTATTTGCACGCAGTAGTAATGAAAAAGGTTGGTTTCCTAAAACCTTGAGTGAATGAAGACTCTGGAGTCTCTTCTTAGCTTTCAAGTGCCCATGAAAACTTGATCTATTACAGACTCCAAGTTATGGTGACTGAGGTTTTATTATTGTTTTACTGAACCACTTGTCATGAAAGAGCATTGAGATCTTGCCTAAAATTCCAGTCTGGTGATCTCAAGAATAGGAGCCATCACAGTCCAGGAAGCCAGCTTCTTACAGGGGTGTGGACTGTGAATAAACAAAGCCACCTAGAGTGTGGCCTAATGGTGAGGCTGAAGCCCCTCCAGTTTAAGAGGAGGATGTGTGTAGTCCACTAGGAAGGAAGGAGCTCAAGGCTAACGGGTATGGTGTTGCTGCTCAGCTGTAGTTCTTGAATTTGACTAGGAAATGGAATCGTGAGCTGAAAATAGCACTTTAGCCTTGAACTGACCCCACTGTTTCTCTGAGTCAAATTTTTGGCGATTTAGCCTTTGCTGAGAGCAGAACATATACTAAAACAATGAAATTTTTAAATTATGTTTTGTTTTCACAACTGTCCTGTGAGTGAGGGTTCAGGAGTAGGGTTTGGGGTAGAGTTCAGTATTTGTTCAGACCCAGTTATGTCCACTGATAATCCCACACAGACAGCTACATTCTGTCCACCCTTCATTTGCTTTCATCTCCCAGTCCCTGACAGATCACACACCTCTAGCATCAGGATTTCTGTCTCCATTCCTGGGCTGGTTCTTACTGAAGTTGGAAGTCAAGACACTGATCATCTCATACCCAGAGTCAACAGATGTTTGCCAACTATCTGCTGTGCAGGACATTTTGTTAGAGGAAGGTTATGCCAAGGTGAATAAAAAGTACTCTCAAACCAAAGGAATAAGAAATTCATTTATGACTCAGATCTTAGCTGTGCTATAAATCTACTCCAGAAGAACCTTGTTGTTCTGTGCCTTAATCTACATTCTCTGAGAGATTAGATGTTGTTATTGAGGGAAATGTGTAAAGGTGGGACAGTTTGAGTAGCTTTAAAGTTTGTGCCATATTCCCAAGGTATGAGAGAAATGTCTAACTTTGTTACTTCTTCAAACCATGTATTCCCAAGGGTCACTTTCCCTGCAGGGGTCCTGGTGCTGTGAGTTCTCCATAGGAGGTGACAGCAGAGGAGCCTGATTACCAGGTTGTATTTGATGTAGGAATGCTTTGAAATCTCTCCTAGCCTGCTCACCATTGCAGCCAGCCGGACTGATTCCCAGCCCCACCCCCAATACCTTTCTCTCACTTTCTAGTAACTCTCCTGAAGACAAGCGATAAAGATGGCAGTCTGGTCTTCTGTGTTAAAAGTTGTTCTCAGGAACCCCCTTCCACAAGCCCCACTGGGCTATCCCTTGGAGACACTGGAACACATTCAAACTCAGCTCCCCAACCGCAAAGTGTAGGTCTCTAAAGTGGGGGTAGGGGGCTTTTATAAGAGAAAATGAGATTAATAGACAATGCTCTGTAGCATCCTCCTGTTATACTAGGATGGAGGTGGGAATAAAGCAGTCCTAAGGAGAGGAGTTCTAACCCTCTTAGAGGCCTGATAACATGACCCTCCTTGAGGAAAACAATTTGGGGTACTGTGCCTTCCTCTGGGAGTCTGTAGTACTTGATAAATGGTAAGCATTCAGTAAATGTTTGTTGGACAGAAATAATGAACAGTGTTGTATTTTATCCTGACTAATACTGACTAAAGGGTATCCTTAGATTTCTGGTTCCTAAAACCATTTGGTATGGGTAGGAGTCACCATAAAAGCTTAGTTAAAAGGACAGGACCCTTGGCCCATTCTCAAAAGTCTTAATCCAATAGGTCTGACTCAGAAGTATTTTTAACAGATCTTCTGAGTAATCTTACAGCAAGGTTCTCCAGAACCACACTTTGAAATTTCTGCTTGGGTGTTGGGGTGGGAGGGCAGTATGGGGAGAAAGGAGAGGTTTTTGTGGGAGGGACCATGAGCAATGAGAAGTCATGGCTAGCTGGTACTTGAGTATACCTGAAATGTCCAGAAACCTGTTGAGTAGCAGGGCAGACAGGGTAAACGTCAAGGTCAAACTTAAGTTCAAAGAGCTAAAGTTCTAGGAAATATCCTCACAAAGTGATTAGTAGGAATTTTTCAAGTTTTGGTGGCCAAATAGTGCTTTGCAGAGACTGGGTCTACTTGTGCTGCTTGCAGCTTCCCTAGCTTGGTGTTCATGATGCCAGAGGGGTAGGAAATAAAGATTTGTTTTGGGCTGGGGATTTAGCTCAGCAGCACAGTGCCTGCCTGGCAAGCACAAGGTCCTGAGTTTGGTTCCAGTACGGGAAACCACCACCCCCCCCCCAAAAAAAAAACAAGGGAGCATATTTGGGGCTGGGGATTTAGCTCAGCAGCACAGTGCCTGCCTGGCAAGCGCAAGGTCGTGAGTTTGGTTCCTGGTACCGGAGAAAAACCAAAAAAAAAAAAAAAGATTTGTCTCTTCCAGTCTCTCCTCAGAAAATCTAGAATGGTTCTGAGGCAATGAAAGAAGGGAAGGAGTGGAAACAGGAATCTTCAACTGTCATTTCCTTTCGTCTTTCCCAATTATCTGAAAGGTGGTTTGGAGGCCTAGGGATCTCAAGTGGGTAAAATATCCCTCAGCCTAAGGTACAACTCTTCCTCTGGCTGAGGGGTGGCCTTTCACAGCCTGTGACAAAACTAGAGGGTATCTTGGAGATAAGCTACATCAGACTCTTAATTTTAGAGAGGAAGTTCCTTTACTTAGAAGTTAAAAGGCAGTGCCACTCTGCAAGAAATAAGAGAGCTCTGATTCCACAGCCCACTGACTTTCCACAGTTTTCAAAGAGAAAGGTGTAAGGCCGCTGTTGCTGTCCACTGTGGCAGGCCTCAGGATTGAGGAAGCAGAGCAGTGTTCCAGGAGGCATCTTTGTTCCTGAGAGACCACATAGTCATTGACTGAGAGGCCTAATCCCCTCCCTTTGGGATTTGTTTACCAATCCCCTAGTGCTCCCACCTTGAGGCTTCTACAGGAGAGAGCAGAGGTGAACCTGGGTCCCCATCATGCACCACCAAGCAAAGGTAGAAGATCCCCTCATTCCTATTGAGGTTGACCAGGAAGGCCAAAACAAGAGGTGTCCCTAGATTTAACTCACTGGATAGAGCAAGTATCCAAAAAGGACATATTTGAACACACTCAGGCATACCCAGGTTGGCTATTCTTATACTGGCCAATTATACCGTTCCTTTATTTTCAAAATAGGTAATAAATATATACTTACATGGTTCAAGATCCAAGGGGTATGCAGCCATCTAGTTTCCCTTCTCACAGGCAACTACTTTTACTAGTTTCATGAATTTTTTCCAGAGATACCTTAACAATTCATATCTCCCCATAGTTTTTTACAAAAATCTTAGTATGCTAGAGAGATGCTGCTGAGCTGTGCTTTTTTCCCTATCCTACCTTGAAGATCATCCCATATAAATGCAGCTTTTAAACTTCATACTGTTCTACTTTATACACCTGCCGCAATTTATATGGCCAGCCCCTACTGGTAAGCATTTAGCTTGTTTACAAACTTTTGCTGTTACACGTGTTCAAACTTTTATCTATTAGAAAAACTCCTAGAAGTAAAATTAGTACATCAAAAG